GCAGCAGCAGCAGCAGCAGCAGCAGCGGGAGCCGGGGCGTGGTGCTGCTGCAGCAAACCCTGCAAGAGGGGCCCCACTTGTACCAACTCATGCAGTTTTTAGAAGGAGGAAGTTTAATGCATTACATGCATGCAAAGCAGCGTTTTGAGGAGAAGACTGCGAAGGTGTACATGGCCCAGTTGGTCTTGGCCGTTAGCGAAATCCACAAGGTCCGCAAAACCCTAAATTAGGGTTTGCAAACCCTAAATTAGGGTTTGCGAACAAACCTCTCCCCCAAAGCTGCTCAGGGCTTCTTGCTTCCGAGGGTTTGCTGCACCTCACCGGGACTTGCTGCTGGCTACGAGGGTTTCGGAGCGAGGGTTTACTCCTGCTCATTAGGGTTTGCAAGGGTTTGCTAGGGTTTACGAGGGTTTGCGAGGGTATATCAGGGTTTGAAGGGGTTCATTAGGGTTTACGAGGGTTTGCTAGGGTCTGCGAGGGTTTACGAGGGTTCACTAGGGTTTACTAGTTTTCACTAGGGTCTACTGGGGTTTGCGAGGGTTTGCGAGGGTTAACGAGGGTTTGCGAGGGTTTACGAGGGTTTACGAGGGTTTACTGAAATCCAAAAGAGCTAAAAAATGCCAATTAGGGTTTACATTGCCACTTCTTCCCTGCTGTCCCGCAAAGCTTCCCCCTTCCAGAGCTTCCCAGGGCTAGGGTCTAGGGTCTAGGGTTTAGGGTCTAGGGTTTAGGGTTTAGGGTTTGCAGCTGCACTTCATTCACCGCGACATCAAACCCGACAACATTGCCTTCACTCGTGAGGGCCATTTAAAACTCCTCGATTTTGGCCTCGCCAGATTTGCCCCTCACGTCTTCGAAGGGTTTGCAGACAGGTAGGGTTTGAGGGTTTGAGGGTTTGCGAGGGTTTGGGGGTTTGCGAGGGTTTGCGAGGGTTTGAGGGTTTGAGGGTTCGCGAGGGTTTGAGGCTTTGCGAGGCTTTGAGAGGGTTTCAGGGTTTGCGAGGGTTTGGGGTTTCGAGGGTTTTCGAGGGTTTGAGGGTTTGTGAGGGTTTGGGGGTTGCGACGGTTTGCGAGGGTTTGCGAAGGTTTGGGGGTTTCAAGGGTTTGGGGTTTCGAGGGTTTGCGAAGGTTCTAGGGTTTCGAGGGTTTGTGAGGGCTTGGGGAGCTTGCGAGGGTTTATGAGGGTTTAGGATATTTTGGGGGGCTTGCGAGGGTTTGCGAGGGTTTCGAGGGTTTGGTAGCCTATAAAGACTTAAGAGGGTTTGCGAGGGTTTACGAGGGTTTGCGAGGGTTTATGGTGGTTTAGAAGGGTTTATGAAGCTTTGTGCACCTGCTCCTGTTGCTATTCCTACTGCCGCTCCTGCTGCTGTTGCTGCTGCTGCTGTTGCTGCTGCTGCCCCTGTTGCTGCTGCTGCCCCTGTTGGTGCTGCCCCGCTCCTGCTGCTGCTCCTCCTGCTGCTGCTGCTGCTGTTGCTGTTGTTGTTGCTGCTGCTGCTTCCCCTGCCGCTGCTGCTGCTGTTGCTGTTGCTGCTGCTGCTGCTGCTGCTGCTGCAGCGGTTTGGCTGAAGGCCTGGGTAGCTGCGCTGCTCCGAGCTGCGCCTCCACGACTCTGAGCACTGACGCTTCAGTGCAGCTCTCGGAGAAGCAGCACGACCACAACTGTAAACCCTAAACCCTAAACCCTAAACCCTAGACCCTAGACCCTAAGCCCTGGACGCCTGCGGCGCAGCAGGAGTGCACAGAGGTTGCGAGAGAGCAGCGGCGCTGGCGCCTGCTGAGGGCCTCGTTCTGAGGGCCAAGGGTTTAGGGCTAGGGTTTAGGGTTTAGGGTTTAGGGTTTGCGAGCAGCGGAAAGCGGAACCTCCCCTGCAGTTCCCCAAACCCTCCAAAGACCCACCAGCTCTTTGCTGCGCTCCATCTGCGGCACCCCCATGTACACTGCCCCCGAAGTGCTGCTGTAAGGGTTTAGGGTTTAGGGTTTAGGGTTTAGGGTTTAGGTTTGTTTCTTTGGGTGTTTCCCTGTTCTCCTTGTTCCCCTTGGGCCCGAGCTAATTCAAACTGTTTCCCTCTGTCTTTTTTGCCTCTCTTGCTGCTGCTGCTGCTGCTGCTGCTGCTGTTCCTGTTTCCGCTCCCGCTGCTGCCTCGTTGCTGCTGTTGCTGCTGGATCTCCTGCGTCTGCCGCTGCCACCGCGGGACCTGGCGCTGCTGCCCCCGCGCCGCCCCCTCCGCCGCCGCCGCTGCTGCTGCTGCTGCTGCTGCTGCTGCTGCTGCTGCTGCTGCAGCGGGGGCGGCTACGACCACTCCGTGGACTGGTGGTCTGCGGGGGTGGTTTT